GGACAGTCCCCCTCTGAACTGGGCGTGCACAGGAGAAAGATCTGAGGCTATGACACAAAGGCATGCATGTTCACTTATTCATGTTCATATTTAATATTTTGTGTTTAAGGTGTAGGAAGGTTAAAAGAAAGTGTGGCCGCCTGCATGCACAGAATAAGAACCCAAACTAGGAGCAAGTGCATTTCTAGATGAAGCCCTTTTTGTTGGTGTCTATAAGGGCCATTTCTGAAGCTCTTTTTCTTTGTCACCAAAAAATGTCTCGTCAGGAAGGAAGCTGCTGACCTGTTTCTACATGTGCTATATAACCCGAGAGGCATTCAAAGGGAACGCTATTTCTGCCAGTACTCATTTGTTGCATTTTTATTGCCTCTCAGTATCTATTTAGATATGTATTTGGAGAAATTTCGATGACAAACGGCTCACCTTTTTACTAGGGTCCATGTCTGATTACCCTACAGGTTATCCCATATGTTTAATATTTAATATTTCATCTTTTACTTTTTATCATTGTCCTTTTCTTTAATCACTATGTACAGGATCCTTGGGGTTTGTAAGGGTGTTTTATAAATGAAATATTATTATTATATAATATTTGGAAGGAAAACAGAATCTAGTGATGCAGCCTGGGAATAAGAGTTGCCGTCATGTGATTCTGCTGTAAACTGGAGACGGGGCAGTTGCAAAGGCCTCTTTCACTCCCCACACCAGTATTTTCTGAGAAACATTTACAGTATGACTCCCCCAGCTACTACTTAGCCTGTTTCCAAGGCAACAGGCTACTACAACCTTTGCAGCTGGCAGGAACTCAAAAACCAGCAGCAACCACAACAACAGTTACAACAACAATGCAGGAGAGTGCTGAATCAGTCTCAGTCCTGAAAGATCAAACCAGTTTCAGATCATCAGCAAATCAATGCAGAGGACCAGAAGCATGACTGCTGATCCTCGGCACTGAACGACCAGTTCATTCATTCAGATCTTTTTTTCGGGTTGCTGTTTTCCTCACAGCCATTTCACCGATGAAGATGAAGACAGCAACGTTATGTTGGCAAGAACAGAATAGATAAGTACTGTACTGTACCCCAACTCACAGTCTGACCAACTCTCCTTTTTAAATTTCTAAGCTCTAGGAAATATTGTCCCATGTCTCCTGAAGCAGGCTAATTTCATATCGCAGACCTGAGAAATGAGTTAACAAATAATTTTTAAGCTATTATTTGTTTTTGAATTAAACATCATTACTGAGCTCTTAAAAGAAAGCAGGTGCCAGAGATGATAATCTAGCTTGATGAGGGTCTGGAAAGCTCACGGAACAAAGCCAAAGCACAAACACGCTTCTTGCGATCACGGATCACGGAAAGTGCATGCAGCAATCTTCTAGTCTGAAGTTCAGATGGAAAATTTCAGGTGGAGTTTGGCTTGACACGATCATTTCTTCGGGTCTGGCCACATTTCTGATGATGAGCACGGCATGTGCTCGTTAATTTCGGGGCAAAACTAAGCTCGTCCACTTTTGCTATCCACAACTTTGGGAGCTGGAAGAGATGGGTCCTGCACTCTATACAGTACATACTCACAGTAGCAAATAAAGCACCAAAACCCTCAAATTCACATTATGAAGAGGTCATAATTGCATACAGTGCAGTTATAAAATGACATCTTAAAAAGGGAATTTCCTTTTTCATGTGGCTACCCTATAAGAAAACAGCAGATGTTTTTCAGTAAATGGTTATTACAAAACCAGGGAAAGCAGAGTGCAAGGTCATCACCGCTGCTGAAGTAGGAGAAATATTGTAAAACCAGGTCTATTTCCGGTGACACAAAACCCATTACCGCCATCCACATGACAAACACAAGTTTGTGCCTCTTGGGCAATGAGCTCAAATTGAGTGCAAGCTGTTAAGAAGGTGGATTAATGTCATTTAAGCCCAGGAAACCTCATTACAGTTTTTTTGATGGTGGCACTTTCCTGCAAACAGGTGGTAAGAAAGAGCTCTTCCACCATCAGGAGATTGCACACGCTTCGCTGGAGAGGAGCTACAGCCCAGGTATTAGGCAATAGAAAAGGCTGGGCGAACTGCATTTTCCACCACATCACAACCCAAATAAAATGAAAATGGAAACGACCTAAATGGCGCACGATAATGATTTTGCTTAAAGGCTGCGAAATATTGAACTTATTTTCTTATACTCCTTTTTAAGTTAAAAAGGCCCAATGGCATTTTGATTGGCTATTTCAGAGGGGATTTGTTTGTATGAAAGGGAGGCCCTTCCTTGCCCACAGTACAGCAACTCAAACGACATTTCAGAACCAACCCTTTTTGCAGCTTAAGAACCCGACCTCTGCAAACACTGCTCAGAGAGCATTAAACCGTTTTCAATTACAGTACTTACGTGCAGCAGCTTAGAATTTTTTCACTGAAATATGCTAATGATTTAACATTATTTTTACCTTACCTCAGATATGTAGCTTACAATTTGTCATGTTTTTCTGTTATCATCTTATGGTGTGCAGGTGTGCAAGAAATGCAGAATGGGTTCACTGCATTAACAGACTTGGGCTGAAGTTTTTAATTCAGGTTTACTGGTGCTACACCAAAGATAGCTAGATATAACTACAAGAACCTTTTCATGAGCACAATGGCTCTACAGGCAAGCCTTCCTATCACTGAAGGTAGGAGAAGAGTTAGATTCTTCATTTGGAAAGTGCCGATCCTCAGCAACATTTGGGTACAGTGACTTTCACCAGTGATTACCAGAGTAATGTGGTTTGTGATGCAAGCCTCTAAAAAAAAAGACCAAATTCAAGGCTGAGCCAACTCATGGCAGATATCATTTAATGCTGATAAGAGCGTAAACAAAAGGCAAAAGAGAAGACAAACTGAATCTTGAAATATAAACTTAAAAGTGAAGAATTTAAACAGAGATCTGTTAACCTAATATTGTACAACGTAGTAGTAAGTTTTTAATATTGCACATGATTTTAGTCACCTGGTACAAGACAGAAATCTCATATCATGACAAGTGACATAAAAACGTTTTAGTCATCAACAGAAAAGGGGATCGATTAAAGTATTTCAAACCCTCAAAGACAGTTAATTCAACACAGTCAGTGGACGTCTTCAGGAGCAACAGCGAAACATGAATCAGACAAGTAGGAATGATGGACAAGTGCACTTCTAAACCACGAACAGGAGGCACTTATTTATATACACAGGAAGGTTGTGGAAGTCTGGAATAAACTGCTAAGCTATGTTTTTAAAACCGATGCCCTGGCTTCTTTCAAGAAACAGCAGGATGAGCCAAACAGTTGCAGTAACTATCAGGAATCCCATGAGCTAGATGACCAGCTTGTTAGTACTCTTAGCAATATTCCGCCTCATCAGAACCTCAGATTGTGAAAAAAAAAAGCACAGGAAACAAGATCTTAACACCTGCAGAGGAAGCCACTTCATCGAAGTGACATTTAAGGCTGAAATTGGTCTACAAGACCTCTGAGGATATGTACCACTCGACTACTTAGTGCCCTTTCAGTTTCCTGTCTGAAGTTAGTTTGCTGGTGTCTCTAGCAATTGTTTTTTCTGTCCGCTCTGTTGAACAATGCAAAAAAGACTTCAGCAGCTCGGTTCTGTTTGGAACTGTATTTTTTTCCGTCCCCCAAGATATTTTTAAATGCTGTTCTCGACTTTTAAGATGTGCTTAATCGAAACATGCCACAGATAATGAAGACAGTCTCCTGAAGTTGGCACCTTTTGTGGAAAATCCTGTCTCATGGTCAACACCATGTTTCAAATGGAAGATCAAGTTACAGCTGCTCATAAACAAGTCTAAAACCAAAGATGATATTACACACCGTCCAGACAGCATCATACCCTGTGCAATTCCTCAGAATTGTCTCTCCCCTGTAAATAAAATTACCATATATTAATTGATTTAATGATGCTGTGGCCTTGGCTTTAAAATGATTGTACTTCAGATATGTAACTGATTCCACTGGAGACAAGTACATTTTGTTGAAAACTGTGTCCCTGTCCTATTTACAATCTGGGTCAACAGCACCACCTGGTGAGAAGAAAACTAATTGGGCACAAATTGTGAGCTGCTAGTCAATACAAAAACAAAAATGTGTCTATCTCTTATATCTTCTAAAAATATTCCATCAAAATCTCGCCACTCAGGAAAGGTTAGTGGGAAACTGCCAACTAAACGTTGTCCAATATTCACCTTCACTATACTGCTGTTTTCCAATCACCAGTTACATTTGACA